ATCTACCTTCAGCTTCTTCTTCTTGGCCTTTGTCTGGGTTGCTGGTCATGCTGTTCCTTTCTCCCATGGATGCCACTGACTGGGACTGCGCACCCTTGTGGGCTGGAGGAGGGCATGAAGGGTCCAGCCATGACGGGTCTGACTGCAGGACCACACTGTCACGTGACAGTCAGGTTGTCACCACGAAGTTTAAAGCATGTGAGATAGTTTGCTAAAACGTCCTGCTTGGTTCTTTCTGAGTCCTTAGCTTGGTGTGAGCTTGGCCATAAAGGAAGACCTGGACGTGTGCTGTGTCCTGGCGAGTGATGAGGAAATTATTTGGAGCAACTCTGTAATGCAGACTTGCCCAAAGCTAGACTGTTGGTAAAGAGCCAGCTGAGATGAAAATCAGGGTCTTTCTGTTGTGGAGGCATCTTCATGCTCTGACACTCAGAATTCTCTACAGAGATGAACAGGAAGGAAGCACTCTCTTTTTCCTGCCACAGTTAAGCAAAATGATGTTTCTTAAAATCCCAGAAAGCAGAGTAAAGGAGTTCTGGCTGGGTGTTTCCTGCTACTCTTAGATAAAATTGGCTTCTTGACCTTTAGAGAAGGAAGCTGACTTGCTCTTTATTCTCTAGAGCCTTCTTGCTCACCTCCAGGCCTGCACATTTGCCTCAGTTTTGCCCTAAGATTTTGGCTCTGTGGTAGGCTGACTCTTGCCCCACCCCCATAAGTTCACACCCTAAGTCCTGGAAGGTGAGAAGTTTACCTTGTATGAGCAAAGGACTTTGCAGATGTGACCACATGAAGGGTTTTGAGATGGGGAGATTGTCGTGGATGATCCAGGGGAGCCCAGTGTGGACATGTGAATCCGTGTTAGGGGGAGGGGCACGAAGACCAGAGTCAGAAAAAGGAGATGTGGTGACCTCAGCAAGAATTTGGAGTGTTGGGGCCACAAGCCAAGGAAAGCTGGTGACCACTAAAAGCTGGAAAGGCAAGGAAAAGGGTTCTCCTCTGAAGCCAGCACCTTGACCCAGGCCCAGTAGACCTGAACTTGGACTTCTGACCTCCAGGACTGTGTGAGAATAAACGTGCATTGTTTTCAGCCACCAGATCTGTGGTAGTTTGTTACAGCAGCAGTGAGATGCCAATGCAGCTTCTAATCTCTTTGTCTCTGCCCCCTGCTCCTTTTGGCATTCCGTCATCCCACTCTCTTCTCCCCTTTTGGCCTTGTCTTCATGCTCCTGACCTCCTCCTCCCTCTCCATCTGTGTCTCTCAGCTTGCAGACTCTTTTGGAAAAGGCCTGATCATCAGCTGTCCCCGTAGGCAGTGCCAGTGAGATGCCTTTCCTTGAAATGGGCGAACCCTCTGCCATCCTCCAGTCCACGGTGGGGGGCGCCTCTTTCCAGCCCCGTGTAGGGGGGCCTCTCCTGTGGTGAGTGTGGGACTGTCTACGCCCGAGTCCCTTTCCTCCCTTGGCCTCAGCTGGGCTGTCTTAGGACACCATTCACAGCAGCCCAAGGACTACTGACTGTCCAGGTCCCAGGGGCATTGTAGGTCATGACAGCTCCTTCAATGGGTGTCACTGCACAGCAGGAGAGCCTCAGCCCCGCTCTCTCCCTTCTGTTTCTCCAGAGGCTCTGCCGCTGTCTGACAGATACGAGAATGGACTCTGCCTCAGTCCTGTCTGTGTGTGAGAGCCGTCGGATTAATGCCTTCTACCCACACCTTCCAAGTGAAGGGCTCACTTGTCGTACCTTTGCAGAGTCTTGAGAGAGGGTTTCTAAAGCCAGTTGTTGACTCTCGTCCTGTCCCCCAGCCTGTAGGAAAGGGTTGAAATTGAAGAGGAGGGAAAAGAGAGTGGAGGGAAGACTGTTTTGGAGGGAGTTGGTGTTCTTTGGTGTGTGTCCTGCCTCACCTCCATGCACGAGGGATGATGAAATTCAAGTTCATATATCACGTTACAATTTTATGATCTACATGTGTGTTTTTATTTTGTTTGTGGCCTTTTCACAGTTTATTAGTCATCAGGATATTTCACCACTGTAAATTATTTAGAAAGTGTCTGGTAATTTTATGATATATATTTTTTCTCATGTAGAGTATTAACTTAATAATAATGTTTAGCTGGAAAATTCGCCTTCTGTTTACAGCATATATTTTGAAGTTCCTGTATTTGTGTCAGTGTATGAGTTTCAGGGGTACAACATAATGATGCGAAGTTAGTGTGCATTACAAAATAACCACCACAGTAAGTCCAAGTAACATCGACCACCACACACAGGTACAGAGTTTCTGTCAGTGATGAGAACTTTCCAATCTGCAATACAGTATTACACATAGTCTCAGTGTTTTTCGTGCAGGAAAATATAATTACCATGACATATATTTTTTAAAGATTTTATTTATTTATCTTTAGAGGGGAAGGAGAGAGGGAGAGAAACATCAATGTATGTTTGCCTTTCGTGCGTGCCCTGCTGGGAACTGGCCTGCAGGGAACTGGCTTGCAACCCAGGCATGTGCCCTGACTGGGAATCGAACCACCATCCTCTGGTTCACAGGCCTGTGCTCAGTCCACTAAGCTACACCAGCCAAGGCTATCACATAATTTTTGATACCATAAATTTCCAAGATTATTGTGGGCGAAACGTTTTTTTAAGAAATTGGGAGTGAAATTTCTTCTGCTCCAGCAAAACGTTTTATCAGTGACACATGACTTTGAGGTTTAGTAGGGACACTGGACAAAGCTGCATAGGCCCGTGTTTTGCAAACGCAACCGCCCCACACCGGAACGCCTCTAGGCCCCCTTCCCTTGCCTTGTGGCCAGGACAGAGCTTCAACCTCTGCATGGACCCCACACCCTCATGCACTGTCAGGTACGTGATTTCACTGTGGAGTTCGTGGGTTGCAGGAGGCAGGGCTGAACCCCGCATCTCACAGCAAGCCTCCCCCAGATCACCCTGAATGGCTTTCGTCTTCCCCTGAAAACCCTGTGCCCATTACAGCTGCCTCTTTCCCTCTAATGGAGACTTCCTCAATTAGATGGCCGCATATAATTTTGTTGCAGGAAAGGGGGATGTAAAGAAGTCGGCCTCACGGGCCAACAGAATGAAGGAGGTGGTGGCGTCCGCTGGGTTCTCAGGGCAGGGGCTGGTCTCTGACCGGCAGCATGGTGCGTGCTCTGCCCCTGCAGCGGAGCTGAGGGGCGTGCACCAGAGCGGCCCTGCTGCCTGGGGTGGCTCCTGCCTAACGCCCAGCCCCACAGCCCTCCTAGAGATGGACGGGGTTTTAAGGGTCCCTTTCCAGTGCTTCTTCTGGTTCACGTCCTGGAGTGGGTTGTTCCTTTTTTTTTTTTTTTAATAAAGTCAAAACACTGACTGATCTGCCTTGTTGCCCTCAACCTCAGCCCCCAGGCCATTGACAGTCTTTCCAATCTTCCACTCCCCTGTCCTTCCCAGCTCAGAGCTCCCTTCAACAACCTGAGGGAGAGGCAGGGAGCAGCCCAGCAAAACGTAACCTGCCACCGAAGCCTCCCTTCATCCAGGAACAAGAACAAAAGCCAGAGTGAGGGTGCAGGTTGTGGTTGGGGCCCAGTGGACATGGCCTGGTCTCCCGCGAGTCCACAGTTCTAGACATGGGCTGTGCTGTTTGGCTGCCAGACCTTTGCCTGTGGTTTGCTGAGGCTGCACAGGCGAATGTGGTGCTGTTTGGGCTGGACGAGGCCTCAGTAACACCCTCTCTGGCTCCAGCACCGTATGATTCTGGAAATGGCAGTGTCCTCGGTGCTGTCAGTCACTCCACCCTTCCCTTGGTTCCTGGGCCGCCATGTCACCTTGGATTTTCTCTGATTTCTCTTAAAAAAAAGAAAACAGCCCCTCTTCCTCTGCTTCACTTTTATGTTTATTTTGTAAGTATCTGTTGAATAAGTAACACACACATATATAAAGTACTCGATGAAAGTAAAGGTCTGTCCCGTCTTTGTCCCTCAGTTCCTTAGACTCTGAATGTGGTTACACGCCCGTGTGTGTGTAAATCATGTAGGACAGACATGAGTGCACAGGGCATGCAAGCGCACTGCATTCTGTGTGTTTATATGCATAGATGCTACCATACCACAACCCTGAGTTACTCACTGCCTCGCTCACCACTGAGCAGGTGGTGCACAGCAGACTGTGTGCGGGGCAGGGAACGGAGTACAAGAGGGTCCGATGATTTCCAATAGTGAGAGATGCCTGAGAATTCACGCACGGCCATGGGAGAGGGCAGAGCGGTGATGTTACACAGGGCGACCGTGCAGGCCTCTTCTGTGAGGAGTCAGCCTGTGAGTTCAGGTGGCATGTGAATGGCAGGGAGCCAGCCCAGGGAGGATCCGAGGGAGGGGCCATCGGGGAGTGGACGTAGCAAGTGACAAGGCCAGAGTCGAGGGTGGCGCCTTAACACCTACTGCTATGCACCTGGCTGTTTCATTTAACGTGTGTGAGAGATGCTTCCCAGTCTGATCCAACTCCCGCCGCCTCCACCTCTTCCTCCTCCTTGTCTTTGGCAGCTGCATAGGATTCCGTCCTGGAGATGAACCGCAGTGTGCTTGGTCCATCCCATGTTGGCATGCAAACACTTTGTAACCTTTTGCTGAGTCCCGCAGTGCTGACAGGAGCATGTTTGAACACCCATGTTGTCCTGCCTGTGAGCTCCCTGTGGCCATGTGTTGGGCTCCCTGCATCACTGCAAGGCCTCCACCCTGCAGGCCCCAGGGCGTGGGAGGGACTCAGCAGGTGCTCCTGGGAGCAGCAGAGGCGGGTTTCCGGGTCTGTGCAGCACTGTCTTTGGCTCTTCCTTCTGGGACAGCGGAGGACATGGCACCTGCTGGGAGGCTGTCCTTCTGTGGACATGTTTCCAGGTTCTCTTTCCTGAATGCGGTCCTTGAGTCCCCCCTGGTGGCATTGCTGATGCTGACACCTCCTGGTGCACAGAACTGGACACAGCAGAGGTGTCCACTCTGGCCTGGCCCAGCCTGCTGTCAGGGTTCACGCAGACTCCGCGCTGGTGGCTGGCCTGGCCGTAACCGTCCCAGCACCCTGTGGATGGCAGCAGTGATCTCTCGGTTGCGCAGGCTGTAGATGAGTGGGTAGAGCAGCGGGGTGACGTTGGTGTAGATGAGAGCCAGCATGCGGTCCTGCCTCGGGGAGTAGCTGGCCTTGGGCCGCACGTACATGAAGGTGGCGCAGCCATAGTGCAGGAAGGTGACGGCCAGGTGCGAGGCGCAGGTGGAGGCGGCCTTATGCCTGCCTGTGGAGGAGTGCAGGCGACGCAGGGCAGTGACGATGGCCACGTAGGAGGCCAGGATGAGCGGGGAAGGCAGCAGCAGCAGCACCAGGCAGGCACCCAGCACGGGCAGCTCGTCCACATAGCTCCTTGTGCAGGCCAGGTGCAGGAGCGCTGTGACGTCACAGAAGAAATGCACCAGCAGGCGGGAGCCACAGAAAGGCAGGTGGAAAACTGCCACTGTGAGCCCCACAGACACCGTCAGCCCCCCAAGACAGCAGGCCAGAGCCATTCGCACGCACAGCCCGGGGGTCACCACAGCTGCGTAGCTCAGAGGGTGGCAGATGGCCACATAGCGGTCATAGGCCATGGCGGCCAGCAGGAAGCACTCAGTCCCGCCCAGTGCCACAAACATCTGCATCTGGACAGCACAGCCCAGGAAGGAGATGGGACTGCCCCTGCCCTGGCCCGGTGCGGCCAGGTCGGCAAGGAATCGGGGCACCACCACCAGAGTGTAGCAGAGCTCAATGGCCGACAGCTGGCATAAGAAGAGCAGCATGGGTGGCCGGCTGGGCACAGAGGCCACGGCCACCAGGATGAGCAGGTTCCCACTCAGGGTGGCCAGGTGCACGGCCAGCAGCAGGAGGAAGAGCACTGGCCTCAGGTGCGGGAACTCAGAGAAGCCCTGAAGGAGAAAGCCAAGGGGCACGGTGGCATTGCTGGGGCTGTCCATGCCCCCGCCTGCCCATCGGCACCTGTGGGAGAGAAAGGAGGGAAGGGCGAGCTTGTGGGGTGCTGCCCCTCTTCTCTGCTGCTGGAGAGAGGGTCAGGGGGAAGTTAGAAGGTGGGAGGGGTACCTTTTTAAGGAGTACATTGCAGATTTTCAGACTTCCTGGACTAGAATTCTTACAGTTGCTTTCTCAGCATGCTCTTTCCAAAAGAGCCTTGATTTTAGGCCCTTGCCTTACAGTGCATGGCTCAGGACCTCCATCTACGAAGAACTCCCTGCCATCAAACTCCAGTCACCATTCTGAGGGCCTGTACACCCAGGAGGAGGGTGTCACCGCCACCTGAGCTCCCCAAGGCAGGTCCCCTCCTCCCTGCCCTCTGCCATCACTTCTGAGTTGCTCTCTGTTGTGGGTCCCAGAATCTCAGAAACGTACAGCAGATGAAGAACTTAGAGAGCATCCCCTACAACCTCATCATTTTAAAGGGGAAGATGAAGCTGGGAGGTGGTGCTGGTGAAGGGCTTACCTGCTCACAGGAAATCACAGAGTCTGCCTTCCTGAGGCTGAATCAAGAGTTTCTCCCGACTCCAAATGAGGTTGTAAAAACATCACTGGGGGCCCTAGCAGGGTGGCCCAGTGTCCCATACACCGACAGTTTGTGGGTTCCCTCCCCAGTCAGGGCACACACCTAGGTTGTAAGTTGGTCCCCAGTCTGGGTGCTTATTGGAGGCAACAGATCAATGTTTCTCTCTCACATCCATGCTTCTCTCCCTGTCCACTTCTTCTCCATTCCCCTCTTTCCTTCTCCCTGTCTCCTCCTTTCTCCATCCTTCTCTCTCTAAAATCAATAAGCACGTCCTCAGGTGAGGATTTAAAAAGAAAGTCACTGGTGCCAGCCAATCCATATCGATTTAGTCTGAAGTAGAGAGCCAGGTGTGTGCCAGGCGCTGAGGCGGACCCTCAGGGAGCAGGGGCTGGTTGTGGGAGGGCCTTGCAGGGCTCACCAGGAATAGCCCGTCCCTAACATTTTCATGAAAAGTGATGTGTATGTGTTCTGACTCGCTTTTCTGAGGGAGCAGCACATTCCAGATTGGCAGCTGAGTCACTTGCAGGCAGCATTTGGAAAACATTGATAACCCGTAGAGGTCAGCTGTGCTTGTTAGAAACCTCTGCGGAGCCTGGGGGCACATGGGGTGCTAAGAAATTGAAGGCCAAGCACACGGGAGGGGGAGGTTTGATTTTTCCAGTTGTTATTAACGATATCTCTTACTTGCTCACATCTTTTCATTAATTTTAATGGTAAGCTGGACTATTACTTCTTCTCAGGGACTTGGTGTCATGGTTTATAATCACTGTGAGAGGGGAATTGTGTGTAGCTGTTTTCCCGTAGAGGACACCAGCAGTAAAGCCAGGTCAGGGTCAGGGTTGGATGCAGAGCAGGAAGGAATGCAGAGAGAGAGCTTGGGTTTTGCTTACTGGAGCTCGTTTTGGAGAAGAGAATTCTGAGGATTTATGTTCATCAGCGTCACCCTGTGCTGCTTCTTGTCGACCGAGGGCAGTGTCTTCTAACAGGTGTTTGTGGTCTGAAGGGAGGGAGGTAGGATGGGGTTCTGGGTGGGTCTGAGAGAGGCCGAATCATTTCCCTGTGTTTCCAAGCTCTCACCCTTTTCTGGACACTCTTTGGTCTGGTGAATATGTAACAGACCTCTTTTTGTTGAGCGCCTCTTCCTTGTAGCTGGAGTAGCCTCAGGTCTGAGCAGGAGAGGAGGCAGGCTGTCCTGGAGGTCGGGGCAGGGTGGGACCCCTGAGGGACCCTCAGCAGTTCTCGTCTCTCTTCCTGGCTTGCCACTCTCTACTCCCTCCTTCTTAGAGATGCAGGGGGTGGGGGCCTGGGGACAGTTCTTTTGCCTTCATGTCTGTACTGCACAGAAATGGAGGTGACAAGACAGGCCAGGTGAAGGCTACAGTAACTGTACACTGAACATGCATCCATGTTTCTCAGAAGCAAGGTCACATGAAGTGAGCCAAATGGGCCGAGTAAACCAAAAGGAGGCTCAGGAGGGTCTCTACTTGGTTTAGAGTTTTTAGGAGGATTTGTCACAAACTCAAGGGACATACTGTACGAATGTCTTTTCTCTGCAAGGATGAGGGGGACCAGACACTTTCCAATCTTCAGCAATTTGGTCCATTCCAAACCCAGCTCCCCCCAGGTCAGAGAAGCTGCTAAGGGAGAAGAAATGACCACAAGTTCTGCTGGAGCCCCTGCCTCCCCAGGGGCAGGAAGGCAGATATTCCCATTCTTCCAGGTGATTTATAGCATCAACACACTCTCTGGAATGAATTCTCTTAGTTGTAGAACAACCAGATGAGGTGGGCCCATTGATACACTCATCTTACAGATGAGAAAATTGAGGCCTAGAGGAATTAAGTGCCGTGAGCTAGTGGTACAGCCAGGTTTATCTGCCAAGCCCTTGGTGGTCCATGGCCCCACCCACTGTGTGGGGTCTCCCTTACAGGGACTTATCCTCAAAAATCTTCTCATGTAAGTCAGACCACCCCCCCTCAGATCTTCCAGTGCCCCTGCCTAGAAATCAGCTGCACTGCCCCAGGCCTTGCTGTCCTCGGGTTTCCCTTGGCTGCGGATGTGAGCAGTAATACAGAGCATCTAAGATAGCAAATCTAAAAATAATTTCTCCTTAGCTCTGCCATTCATGGCTGCTGCTGTGACTGTTCTGGCAGGTCTGCTTTTCTAACTGTGTGAGTCCCCGTGGAGCACCCACAGAGGGAGGGCTGGCTGGTGGCCCGGGACATCCCGACGTGGCTGGAAGCCTTGCCGGGCTGGGGCCACAGACCTGCCCTTGGATTTCCACAGTGCAGAATAATTAAAATTACCTGTCCCCATGATGTTTCTTAAATCGGTCGTTTCAGTAGTCAGTGGAAGCACTCGTAAGCAGAGAGGATGAGGTGGGAGATTTGAGAGCTGACAGTCCAGCCCTGCCAGACCAGTGGTCATGACCACACCTCCGGCTTCCATCCACTGGACCCCCCAGCCTCTGCCATCCTGGATGCCTGGCCTCTGACCCACAGCCGTCCTGGACCCGACCTTGGGCTGAGAGTGCAGGGCTGCTGATCCCCAAGAATGGACTTTGTGCCCTAAGAACTCAGCTTTCCTGACTTCTCTGCAGACTTCTGGGCTTTGGACTAGCTATGCTCCAGCGTGAACACTCTTAAGACCCTAGAATAAATCTCTGTCCTTTGCTCCTAGCCAAGGCTCCAGGTTCTGCTGAGTTCCTTGCACACAGGTCAGAGCCCAGCATCTGCAGCATCCTGGCAGCCTTTGGGTCATTTGCATAGCAGCTGAGGAGTGTAATTGTGATAATGAGTCCTTTTCCTGTGTTAGCAGCCTTTTCCTTGATTTATGACAGATAACTCAAAACTCATTAATTACATATATTTGTGTTATTATCTATGTCAAATTTAGGTTTGTTTTAAGGCTTTAAATTAAGACTTATTTACTATTTTACACCCTAGCTGGTGTGGCTCAGTGGATTGAGCACAGGCTGGTAAACAACGGGTCGCCAGTTCGATTCCCTGTCAGACCATATGTCTGGGTTGTTGGCCAGGTCCCCACTAAGGGGAGCGTGAGAGGCAACACATATCGATGCTTCTCTTCCTCACTTTCTCCTTTTTTTCCCCTTCCCCTACAAATAAATAAAATCTTAAGTAAAACACTTCTTTACTATCTTCTTGCTGTATCATGCAAACTTACATCTGTTAGTGGCTTTTTTCCTTATCAGTTTGATAATTTCTCTAGTCAGAGGGCTGAAGAGCAGCTCTGAAGTACAGGTTTTACTGTGGGCTCCCTGTTCCAACCATTCACACTCTCAGCCTCGACCCAGGACACACATGACATTTCTGGGGTGGTGCTCCTGTCCTGTGAGCCCCTGCCTTGCACCTGATACAGCAGCCTCCTGAGTCCTGGACGCTGCTACATTTGGCAAGACGGCTTATCAAGGGCTTTTGAGAGTCTGGATAAAAGGAGTCCTTTGCTATTTCCTGTGGGCATCTTTGTCTCCTGCACCCACTTAAACAGATGTAATAGGGAATGTTCCTTACACAGACATTTTTGCTTTCCCCTGCTTAGGGTGTTTCCTGAAATATGTAGTGATCCCACATGTTATAAAACCGTGAAGCCCTTGATATTTCCTGTCTTCTCAGGGGGGCTTTTTTAAGTGACGGTTCCATGGGCAACATTTTAAGTCTCCAGCTCCGGGTCAGTACCTTACCTTGGGTTTTGCATGTTGGGCAACATTAAATCTCCCCGTTCCTGACAACTGGGAATCCTTACAATACGTGTCCTTGTGTGTTTGCAGCCCCCAAAATGGTTCCTACAGTTAATTCTCTTTTCTTAAGTCAACCGTGGGGTTAGGGCTTTGAGTGCAGTTTCAGCTCAGCTTCCTGGTCTCCTTTGTTTTCACTGCAGAGGAGCTTTGGCCACACAGATCTAGGAGCCCTGCTGATTTCCGAGCTTGTGCTCTGCCTTTGATGCTCCTAAAGAAGTTCTCAGCTGGAAAGAAGCAGCATCCATTTAAACTGATATCTGTGGCCCAGGCTTCTGGCAGAGGAAGAGGGACGCACTTCAAGCACAAGCACCTGAATGGTCCCCATTGCATTGCCTGGCAAGGAGACTGCCCCAGTTCTGGGACTGTGAAGGTCGTCTTTGTCATGCGTAATGCATGGTCATTGCAGTGTCACGTTTTGAGAAGTAGTCTAGTCCCTGGGTCAATCCGTGTATCTACCTTAGACAGTGTTGGTATCTTTGCTGTCTAGAGACACTAGTTCGTTTTCTGACTTATTTTTTAAGATCAGCTATCATGTTCGATGAAGTTGGTTTTAGTAGGTTTGAAATACTGTTAATTTCTCAACTCCATCTCAGGCCACAAAGCAGTGAGAGGGTTCCCCGAAAACCTCAAATGACCCTCCTAGTAAAGATGCCTTCCTGTTT